ACCTCGGTACCAGACGCGTGCCTGCCGTCCTCTTCCACGGCCTCTTCCTTCGGTGGCCGCCTGTTCTTCGTCGAAATCTGACATTCAGATTTGGCTGGTGATCGCGAATCCGCGCGAGTAAGGAGGAATCTGTGCATGGGATGGCGGGTACGCATGAGATATTTTTTGAATTTACACGGCCCTATATTTTTTAAACATCCTACTGATATATTACCCTATATTTTGGTGGTAAATAAAAAAAACTATATTTTGTGAATTTACCCTATATTTTTAAACATCCTACTGATATATTAATTCATTATATTGTGTGCACTCTTAAAAATGACTTTTTTACTTTAATAATACAATCATTGTTTTGTTTGTACGATGAAAAATATCACTTAAAATGTATAACAGTAATATCTTTACTAAAATTTCATTGTTGGGATAATTATGAGGAGATCGTTAATTTTTTTCCTAATATACTCCTAGTTATTTGTGTATATTCTTATAGAAACACAAGAAAAAGTAATATTTTTTTCAATTCGGAAAGAACTATCACAAAACCTAACAATGTAAACTACAATGCATCACTTTTCTTAAAACATCTATTGTACAGTATATTTATTGATCACAATGTATCGATTTAATTGTCAACAAAATTAAATTGTCTCTGAATTTATTTGAAACTTTATCGAGAATGAAGAGGGTAGGAATATCATAATTGTCCCTTTTTGTGGAACCATAATAGTACTTTCATTGGGTTAATAGCATTTTGTACCCCTCTACTATTGTAAGTTATTAAATGTACCACTCTACTATAATTTTCCACAAACATACCCTTCTAAGTTGTACCCCTCTACTATTGTAAATTATTAAATGTACCACTCTACTAAAATTTTCCACAAACATACCCTTTTAATATTAAAACGTAACAAGTTTACCCTTCCGTCTAATTTTCTGTTAAGTGTCCGTTAAAGAGGTTGGGAATTGACCCTTCTTTACTCCTAATTTCAATTTTAATTATCTTATTTATTATTTATTTATTTCCAAACAACACAATTAAGTAAAAGAACACAAAAGCTACAATTTCCCTTCACCCGTACTCACTCGACATAACTTTTGTCTTCCACTCTACCAATCCCAAATCACGCCATTAAAAGAACCAGAGAAATCCGGCCAGTAGAGGTGTACGATGGAGAAGCTATTGTTGGAATTTCATGGGAGAAGCCGAAAGCTGGTGTAGGAACGTCGCAGGAGAAACCAGAATTTAGCATCGTTGTTGTGTGGTCAAGGGGTGAAAAGGAAAGAGTCGTATCGTGGGGAGAATCGGTGAAGGTGGTTGATTAATATTTAATTGTATCGCCAGATTATGTCCAGTCGCCGGCGAGGAGCATCCAGGAGCAGGCGTCGCCGAGTCAAGGGACGAGCAATAGGGGAGACAGACGATTTGTTTTAATTAATTGATTGATTGGGGATATAAATAAATAATAAATAAAATAGCAAAAACTGAAATTAGGAGTAAAGGATGGGTAATTGGGTCATTTTCCAGCCCCTTTAATGGTCATTTAACAGAAAATTTGATAGAAGGGTAAATTTGTTACGTTTTAATATTAGAAGGGTACGTTTGTGTAAAAATTTAGTAAAGATGTATGTTTGTTAATTTAACTAGTAGAGGGGTACAAAATGCTATTAATCCTACTTTCATTCAACATAGTTTAGTCGAATTTGGATTCGATTGACATTTATGTTGAAAAATGCAATAAGAATTACAAATTTAAAATGTGAATGGACCAAAATATAACATCATTAAACATAAAAATTAATCAAAGTTGGGCAGGAAGCAAGTTTGAATTAATTAATTAAATAACGTACAGCAGGAGATTCCATCCACTAAATGTGGAAATTCGTCATGTATGACATCACTGTTCTTCCCGCTTTTAGCCACCCAAATCGAAAATCTCGCACACCAACCCCACTCGTGACATACCATAATTATGTTTAGCAACCCCTTTACTTTAGATACAATCAATAAACGAAGTATTATAATATTAATTAATTAGGATTGATGGTCGAGGATAGAGTCATTCACCTTTGGTTATTCACCCTTCCTTAACTAAGTATGGACCTGAGTGTTGTGATGGACTCAGAATTATTGAAGAGGGGTGTCGCCGATAAAAAATTATAGTAAATAAAAATTTCATAGAAATTACTGGAAATTTATTTATAAGTTCACAATGTCATGTTTACTATGAATTATGACGATTTTTCATATCCTGGATTTTTTTTTAAAATACATTCATCATTTATGTTGCAAATCAAACATTTTTGATATATACAACTACATAATAATTCATAAATTAGTCACTCAATCAAAGAGAATCGACCTACGTCTAAAATCAAAGTTTAAATAAATTAGTTTACAATCAAATATAGTAAACTACAATCTAGTAATCTACCAATCGAAAATTTTAGAAAAAAGAAAGTATGCCTAAAGCAATATCATTAGCATTTTTTCTCTAGTTCAACCAAATTAACCAATATCAAACCACAATCTCCCATAAATATATCCAATTCACCTATTAACGACAAATCGACAAGTTAAATTGGGTTGTGGATTACTTAAAACAAGCATGCTTATTTGATTTTACTTATTATTTTTAATTACTAATTATGACGAATAACTTTATAACATTAAAACTATTGTTGTATAATGAATGTGTGTCACTTATAATTATTCTCGAAAGTTCAAAATTAAAAAAATTTGTACCGAAAAAATAGAAGTCCTTCACAAAATTTTCGGGCGGATGGATGTCGGATGACATTCCTCCCCTTGCCCTAGGTCCGCCCTTGCCTGAGTGGGTCCAGAAAATTCATATTTACATGGTGAGATTTAATAATTTTTTTATTAATCGACTCTTATCTTCTTCGTTTCAACTTGGATTCCAGTTTTTTTTTTCCAAAAATGGAACGAGTTCTTTGAGATCTACAAAATGAAATCAATTTTCAATATATTTCGGCCAAAAAAATTTCATACCACTCGTTACCACCTTGGTACCACCTAGGGATGACAACAAAATCCGAACCCACGAGTACCCACCCGACCCAACCCGGTCAACGCGGGTAAAATCCGTGCTGACGGGTTTTGGATCGGGTTCGGGTTTAAACCCGCTACACTATTTACCGGGTCGGTTTTGGTTTGGGTTTAGGTAAACCCGCCCCATGGGTACCCTCCCACACACATATAATTACTTTCCCGGTATATTTAATATTCTAAATAATATATCTTCCTTAAACAACTAATATTCTTTATGTTTGTGGAGACATGTATAATTTTTTATTTCTAATTGTTTAGAATGAATTTGATATTATGAACTGGAGAGTGAAGAAACTTAGTTGACGAGGAAGAACTTTCAATTAATCTTATTGATCATAGATGTTTATCTTTAATTTTGAACAATTTGTATTAATCATTTGCGGTTTGCTTGTATGCTCTAGATTGGTGTTTTTTGTATGATTAATTTGTATGAGAAAATTGATGTTAAACTTTTATTTTGAAAGAAACTTGTTATTGTAAATTTTTTTCCACAAAAACCCACGGGTACCCACGAACCCGCGGATACCCAGCGGGTTGGGTTGGGTTTGCGTTTTTCAAGCCCAACGGGTTTTACCCTGGATTTTTTTGGCGGATAAACCCATGGGTTTGAGTTTGGGTTTGACAAAACCCGCCACAACCCGACCCGTTGCCATCCCTGGTACCACCCAGTACCACCTTCGTTTTTAACTCGAATTTTGAATATTTTTACACAGATGGAACGAAATCTTCTTGATCTATTGGATCCACAAATTTTCGAGAAAAAAAAAACAGTACTATAACGTCCCACTCCGTAACACCTTGGTATAGTGGTGGTAACTAATGGTACACAATGATGAATGTGGTAAATGAAAGTTAATATATTCCTACTATCATGTACTTCAATCATCCTACAGTATGTTATGTTCATACTACCATGGTACACTTCCGTACCACGTGGTATGATCTCATGTAGTACCAAGGAGTATCACCATCATATGGTATAGACTGGTACTAGATGTATCTATTCTTTTTTCAAAAATATATCAAAGTTGATATCATTTTGAATAGTACAATTTATCTGTGCAAATAATTAAATTCCTGCTTAAACGAAAGAGATATAGCCCGTTAAATTTAGAGGAGGAAATGGGTTGGATTATGGTGATGTGACGCTGATATGGCAGTTATGCATGATTATTGACCACAAGGTTAAACAACTTATTCGCTCCAAGGATTGATATCTTAGAATAACCCGAACACTAATTTGGCCAACTTTTTTTTAGAAATGTCTATCCTATACAAAACCAATATTCGTGAAGACTCATTTGACTAAATTCCAAGGTTGACCGTTAAATCAGACGGTTAACACAGTTGATTAACTGTTAACAATCAACGTGTCATGTCATTGCTATATCTTCCTACAAAATATTAAAAATATAAATTTAACTATTTTTTCCTAGGTTTTTATAAGTTTTTATTTATTTATAACTGATTTTTCCTAGGGTTAATAATACCTTAAAATGGTACGAATTTTGCTATAAATGACTCATTTGGTCAATATTTACAGAAATACCTATCCCAATCTAAACTATTACTCATAAAAGTTAATTTAACTCAAACTGTTAAGTTAGACGGTCAATGATGGGTAGGGATGGCAATTTGAACCCGCCCCGCCGGGTAATACTCGACCTGACCCGTGATGGGAGGGTATTACCCGACCCGCATTAGCGTGCGGCGGGGCATGGGTATCAACTTCCGACCCGCCCTGCCCTGCCCCATTCTTATCCCGTTCTATGTCAATTTTTTACCACATCCACTCATATATCTCCTATTTTGAATTTTATTCAACTATTTAGATTTGATCTTTCAACTAAATAGACTCAATTACTTATTATATTATCACTATTATTCATTCATCAAGTATTTTCCCCTTCTTTTTATTATAAAAAGTAAAATTATGCGTGTATTTTTCTCAAATAACATGTAAGAGTGGGTCGACCCGCCCCGCCCCGTTCCCGCGCGGGTATTACTCGCCCCGACCCATACTAGCGTGAGGCGGGCATGAATATTGAGGTACCCGCCCCGCCCCGCCCCGCCTCATTGTCATCACTAATGATGGTTCACCTTTAATAAGTCAAACTATTACCCATAAAAAAATGCTACCCTATTTGTGATGCTTCCCTCCAAGAGTGTTGGCGCGTTACTACTTCCTCAATCATTGAAAGTATCATAAATTAAACAATTGGCTAAAGACTGGACATCTTTACACATATGAGACAAATAACTTCCCATACTTAAGGGGTCGTTTGGATGAGTGTTTTAAATGAGTTATTTGGACTAAAATAACTTGTTTGGCAATTGATTTGGCTGATGTGGTATTGTGGGTCGCGTTATTTGAGAATAACCCATAAACGCAGTATTCTAAATACCACATAGGGAGATGTTATTTGAAAATAACTTGTTCAACGCTTTTCTCATCCCAACTCTGTCCCTGCTTTTTCTATTTCTTCCAGTCCAACTCTCTCCTCACTTCTTCTTTCTTTTTTCTTCGACCCTTTGATTCTCCTTTGTGGAGCCAAAATCAATTGAGCCAAAATTGATTTCGTTGCTACTTTTGGATTCTCCTCTTCGTGCAGATAAGATAGAGTATGCATAAGCTTAGGTTGCGAAGAACAAAGTGGAAGGAAAGTTAATCGGCGGCGACGAACGATGATCTTCTTCTGCGACGAGGCGGCGGCGACGAGGATGCGATGGCGACGGCAACACTGGGTTCTCTCGCAGGTTTCTCTATGTTTCTCAGAGTGTGGCGAGCTTCATTGACGGTGGCGAGGACGACATGGATAGAGACGACGACGACACAGAAACGAGATAGGAGAGAGGAATTAGTTTTCGGATTTAAAGACCGGCCAGGAATCATGACGACTGTCGCCGGATTTCTTCAATCCCCTACTGTTCTCCCTCTATGCTATCCTCCACCCCTGTTCTTCTTGCTAATTTTGCCTCTGCATGTATTTGGAAATGTCGAGTTGATTATTGTTTCCGATGGGTGTTGGCTTTGGGGGGAAATTGACAACAATTAGGAAATCAATTCAGTGGCGGTGGGTGATGCATAGACTTGTCTTATGTTTTGCTCTTGTGAGATTTAATTTTGCAGCAGCCATGGATGAACAAAATGGGGGCATGCAATTGGGTAGGGACATGTTTCTGGGAATGAAGGAGAGAAGATGGTGAAGAGGGCGATATTGGTTTTTACCATCACATACCACATTCAAATATTGGTTTAGCCAAACAAGATTATTTATCTCATCTTTCATACAAATACCACAAAAATACCACATTAACAATAAATGAGTTGTTTCACTTTACAAATACCATATTCACAAATGATCCATCCAAACGACACTGATAAGGACATGGTGAGTTATTGTGTCTCATATAAAACACTCAATTCTAAAGATAAGGATTCGTTGTATCTATGTTTTTGTTTTATAGTCCGCCCTGATATTAGTCCATTTCTCCCTTTCTTAGATGTCAAATCTCTATTATTTTTAACCTTCTCTCCCTTGGTCCACATGGTTTTGACTTTTGACACCTGAGATACAACTTCAATTAAATTACGTAGCTGTCTCTTTCGAGATTATGAAAATCCATGGCTTAAACACAAGCTTGAACAACGAGAGATCAATGGGTTGGTTGGTTTTGGTTTGGCTTCCACGCTCAGTCCTCATCTACCAAACATATAGTTTTTTCAGAGAGAAGTCTCTTCTCACCTCTCTAGAGACAAAACATATAATTCACGCATTTTTTAGTTATTAACGTAAATTTGAGCTTATTCACGCTATATTGGCGTTATACATGTGAGAGTATTGATTATTCACGCAACCAGTATTGTTTGGTCACACAACCTGGTGTTTATTCACCAAATTGTTATTTATTCACGCCATTGTAAAATCAAATTTTAAACATTGAAATATATCGAAATAGATGTCATTGTGTAGATTATGATCAATGCAACACATGTTTACAGATCAATGGAGAATTTTAATTCCATAAAATATAGTCAATATTTTTTTCCCCCGTTGAATCAGTTGTCTCTTCTCATTAAAGCCAAACATATACAACGAAAGCGGGCGAAGCCCACACAAGAACAGGAGAACATGTACACTTTTACGCGAATAAGCATAGTATTACCTGAATATGTACCAAATGGTGTGAATGAGCACAAAAATAACTGGCCGAATGGATCGATTGATGGGATCAGAGGGGCTTCATCTAGTGTGTCCTTCACGATGTTTGCTGGTCGGTGTGGAAGGAGAGGATCCAGAGGACTTTCCAACAAGATAGTTGTCCCGCGTACGTTATTTCCGGGAAGATTATCAGAGCTGCCCTTGAGTGGATTGCGGCTAATGGCAAGGCGGGTAAGGATCAATGTGTTCAATGGTACAGGGATTGGAGCTCTGCCAGGAGGGTGTCCAATGTAGCAAGTGATGGAGCTTAGTCTGGGTAGGTTTTGGTTTGGTAGGTGTTGAGTTGCCCTTGTTTTCCTAGCTTGCTTTTGTGTTCAGGGCTCACTGGCGGGCAGCTTGGTGTTGGTTCCAGGTTATGAATGGGGCGTGTTGCTACTGCTTGATTTTTGGTTTGAGTTGTTTCTCTGATCTTTGTTCTGTCTTCCCCTCGTTCTGTTCTTTTTTTTTCTCTTTGTTTGTTCGCTCTCACTGCTTGTGGAGCGCTGCACCTTGACTGTTTGCTTTCTCATTTAATATAGTTCATCACATTCATAAAAAAATTAGCATTAGGTGTTTTGTCACCTCTCGTGACAACAAAACTTATCCATTTTTTATCGTCAATTTGTGATATGGTACAAACGGTTAATAATAAGTTGTTTACAATAACTCAAGTTGGTGGAAGATATTTAATTGTGAACCACTTACTAAAATTGATAGCAATCACCCTTGCAAAATTGATCGACTGATAGATGAAGCTTGATAAATGCCTCAACAGTGTTAAAATCCATAATTGAGATTTGAACAATCTGAAGGAGATGATGTCAGATATGAAGCTGAACGAACGTGAACGTTTTTAAAAGATTCTTTTTGCTAGATGACAATCAATTTTCTCCTACTGTGTCACTTGGCTTCCAAATCATATTTGTTTGGTTTCTATTTAAATAGTTTTGCAGATACTCTATGATCGTTTGGCAGAAGATAGTTGCGTTTGTATTGTAAGGATTACTGTTGAGACTCGTGATATCACAAATACCATAAGTTCTTGGCCTTTTTCGCCACTCGGACAATCCGAAAGATTGGTGCTCAAAGGTGTTCCTTGACGTTCTTTGCTGGCGCATTTGGCGCTGTTTTCTGACGAGAAAACTTGCGCTGAAGATAATTGATTGCACCTTTGACTTCTTTGGACAACGATTTCTAAGACATGGCTCACACCTCTTCAAACAAAGTTCGAACGAGGGTGTTTGATCGATGGTTTTTGGGAATGAAAACTAAATTAAGTGACTCCTACTCCTATGGAGGTTCAGTGATAGCTCCAAACTATGAACTACTTCTATGGCTACATGATAGAGAAAAGGTAAAGGATAAACTTGACATGTGTGTCTGAGTGTTCGTTTTGGGCCCTTCTCTATGTCGAACCTTCCTCCTATTTATAGCCATGAGGAGGTAACCACCGTAAAAAACCGCTTGTTTGATAACTGCTACCAAGAACCACTCCCCCTTCTTTGGTAGAAAACCGCCTCTTGGATAACTCCCAAAAAGAACTGCTCCCTGCTCCCTTGGAGTGGTGGTTACTCCTTCAACCGCCTAGGTGCCTCTCTTAGAATCGTCGTGGATCTTGTAGCCTGCCTCGCCTCGTCTTGTTCAAAATCTCGTGTCATGCCAATCTTTTGATAAGCATGTGGTGTCTCACAAAAGGGGGTCATGATCCTCTTGCTAGGCGGACATGGACTTCTTACTCATGTCCTTGGCCTTCTTGTGACACGGTCATGGACCTCTCAATCATGCACATGGCCTCCCTCGTGAAGCGACATGTCCTTCCCAGACTTAGAATATTTTTAGGTCGGTCAAACTTGGTCATGAGGCGGTATGGCCTCTTCATTAGCGACCATACTTCTAAGTCATAATCGTGGTCCTTCTCGTGACATGGCATGACCTTCTCATACTTAACATTTTTCAATCGTGTCTAGGACATCTTGTCTCGCGTCCATGCCCCTTCTCGTGACGCGGCATGGACCTATCAGACTTAGTCATTTTTTCTCTTTTTTAGAGATGGCATGTGCTTATAGATTCTAGATGGACATGTTCCTTTTCGTTAAAGTGACATGTGCTTCTCCTTGAAGAGGCATGTACCTATCATGCTTAGTTTATTTTTCAGTCATTCGGTCTTGGTCGTGGGGAGGCTTGTGCTCCTCGATTTTTAGACGGACATAGCCCTCCTCATTGAGGCGGCATGTCCCTCTAGCTTTTAAACGGACATGACCCTTCTCATTGAAGGGGAACGTCCCTCTCAAGACTTAGTGGCTTCGGCTTAAAATAAATATCCTAAGGCCAAACTTAAACAACGTTCATTGTTATAATTAAGTGGCCTTATAACTGCATTGATTATCTTGTAACTCACCAATGTGATATAAGACAAATTTTATGGTGTAAACAAATGCCTCCCAACTACTTAGTGCATAGAAATTATGGACTAAGTAGTTGAACATGGCGATGCCATCCAAGCAACGCATTGGCTTATCAAACCACGTATCTATATATATTTTTCGTTGAATGCGTATCGATATTTTCCTTAGCCAAAATTTGGGCTTTCATGGAAAACCAACTAAAACCCCTTTTTCTTTGCAACGTAAACCTCCAGCATGACCATGCAATAACGGGTTAATTGTATGGTTGGTCACTGAAATTACAAAAAACATTCATGTTTGGTCACTGAAAATATTTAAATTCAATCTTGGTCACTCAAATTAGTTAAATGGTTCAAGTTTGGTCACTCTCCGTCCATTTCCGTTAACTCCAGCTTACGTGACAGTCAACTTTCATAGTTGACTGTGAAATTTTTGACGTGGCAATTAAAAATTATTAAAAATAAAAAATTATATTTTCCCCCTCATTATTACATTCATTAAAAAATAAAATAATCTAATTTCTTTTCTACACACCCCCAACCGTACCCGACCCAACCTCACCACCACCAGAACACAACTTCCGGCCCGACAGCGGCATTCCTTCCATTCGCCGCAGCCAGTCAATTCCTCTCAACCCGTCAATTTAGAAACGATCAGACAAGTATGGAACGCTGGCATCTCTTCCTCTCTCCAACGGGCAACGACCATTTAGAAACGATGAGAGAAGTTTGCATGACAAGAGTCTTGAGCAAGGAGTTGTGGGTGATGTAGTGATGCATCACCCTGCCTTTCTCGAGCTTGCCCAAGTGGCACAAGCACTCAGAATGCTCACCATGGTCACCTCATGGGCTTTCGTTTAGGTAACCTCCGGCATCTTCTCAAACATCACCATGGCTTCCTTGTATCCCCCTGCTTTAACATACCCATCGATCAAGGAGCTCCACGAGACGACATCTCTCTCAGGCATTGAATCAAACACCTTGCGCGCCAAACCCATGTTTCCGCACTTAGCGTACCCGTCCACCATTGAGTTCCACGAGACTAGATACTTCACGTGAATTTCGTCGAACACCATACGTGCATGAACTATATCCTTACAGGACGCATACATATGGACCATGGAATTTGCTACAAACCTATCAGAATCGTACCCAGTCTTTGTCGTGCCAGCGGGGACCGAGAGGCCGAGTTTCAGCTTGAAGAGGCGGGACAAAGCCTTGAAAAGAAAAGGGTACATGAGATGGTCCGACGGAACCCCTGCTCGCAGCATTTGGACGAAAGCTGACAGTGCTCTATTTTTTGGTGGCAGAGCAGCTTCTTACGATTGCGTTCCAAGCGAAGGTGGGAGCAGAATACAGGAGCTTTAACAGAACCCGGTAGCAGTAGTCCACGCAATTCGAATTGACGGGTTGAGAGAAAGATGAGAGGAATTGGGTTGGGTAAGGTATAAGGCAGTGGCGGATCCAGAAATTCTACGTAGGGTGTCCTCTATAAAAAATTAAATTAGATTAAATTAAATAATTATTAAATATGAAAATATCTAACTAATTAGGGGTGATAATCGGTAACCGGTTAGTCGGCCAACCGAAAAACCAAACCGAAAGATCGGTTTATTGGTTAACCGAAAACCGAAAAATAAGATCTCGGTGTCGGTGTCGGTTTGCCCATTTGGAGTTATTCACTAACCGGCGGTTATTGGTTCCTAACCGATGATTATCGGTAGCTAACCGATCTAACCGACCAACCATCCCTTTGACCTCTCGCTGCCCCCAACTCCTTCATCCTCCCGATCCCCACATTCCTCTACCTCTCCGCCCAGCTCCTTCCTTCCGATCCAGGCCTCAAATCTTCCTCTAACTCAAAGCCAACATCTTTCCTTCCTCTAAATCGTCCTCGCCTCCCCTTCTCCACCAAAATCCCACACAAACCCTACATCCTTTCCATCTCAATTCTCCCAAATTCTGACCTCGCCACCCCTTATCTTTGCTCCGACGGCGGCACTTGCGAGACTGCAAAATTTCTTGCGAAACCCTCGTAGACGACGCCAATAAATCCATCTCGTAATCGTCGACGCCGCCCCGTCTACCTTGCCGTCTCTAATCGGAATTGCAGGCTCGCCTTAGTCCTTCACATCGAAATCTGCCATGGCCTTCTTCCTCTACCTCTTTGACTTCCAGTGACATGCATGAGCATGGCAAAGAGCGCCCACACCAGACACAACACCGGAGCGCCGCCGTCCACATCCAAACTCTGCCGCGCATCAGTTCAATCACACAAATCGCCGTCGTCCAAATCCTCACCTTGCCCGTCGCTCCGACTGCCCAATTTCCAGGCCTTCTCGGCTAATTGCCCATCCCACCAAAACCGTCGGCTGCGGTTATCGGCTAACCGATAGTGCAGTCGGTGTCGGTGACGGTTGGGGATTTCACCTCCTTCTCGGCGTCAACTAACCGACTTTGCGGTTCGGTTAAAACCGAAACCGCACCACTAACAGCCCTATAACTAATTAAAGTTTCATTAAAAGTTCAGACGTGTTTCATCAAATGATAAAATGCATTCGGTGTTTATACTGCTCAACAAATATCTCTCGACATATCTTACTAGACAAGGATATCCCATAATTGAGTTTAATAGTTAGGTTTTGAAAATAATTTGAGATAAGAATAACACTTTACTATTATATTTGGATCTAAAACACAATAACAAATGAGTTGTAGCATAATTGAAAATATATTAACTAATAGTGGCAGTACCCCAAATTTAAATCACATTAACTACTACTTAAATATTATTTATACCAATACGCAAACTACTACGGTAGATTGGATAATCATTTTCCCAAATTTTAAAGGTGACCCACTACCACTTGAACATTTTTTTTTCTCATACGTAAATTACTATCGTAGGTTGAATAATCGTGTTTCCAAATAGTGGTGTCCCGGGACACCCCTAACCATGCATGTATTCGTCACTGGTATAGGGTGTGTAGAAAAGAAATTAGGTTTTTATTTTTTATTTTTTAATGAATGTAGTAATGAGGTGGAAAATATAAAGTTTTTTTTATTTTTAATAATTTTTTAATTGCCACGTCACATATTTAACGGTCAACTATGAAAGTTGACTGCCACGTAAGCTAGAGTTAACGGAAATGGACGGAGAGTGACCAAACTTGAACCATTTAACTAATTTGAGTGACCAAGATTGGATTTAAATATTTACAGTGACCAAACATGAACGTTTCTTGTAATTTCAGTGACCAACCATGAAATTAACCCATGCAATAACTGTAGCCTTTGGCCAATTAACCCTTCCATTTGCAATTAACTTCCTGTTGAGCCGTCGTCAACTTTGAAAGATAAACTTTGTGGCTAATTAACTCATACAACTGGAAGACTTGCTCAGGCAATACCCATAAGTTATTCACTTAAGCAGCCATTCCTACACGGAATCTCATGCTCCTTTTCCTTGGTCACCTTACTTGACATGTCAAAATCACCATGAGTTTTTCTTTGTCTAGGATGCCACCAAGTGAACACATGTCTACTTTTCCTGTGTTGAAGACTTGGATGCCTAGACTTGACAAGTTGATTGCCACGTATATGGCATGCTTTACTTTTTCTTTCAATATCTAAACCTTGTTGGCTTGCATACTTAGCACACAACCAGCCTTGGTTGTTTAAGCCACCATGTTTAGTTGGTGACTTCTTATACATGCCTTCTTGTCCACCCTTTGTGGTTGGTATTCATAGACAAGTACTTTCCTATCTGTTCACCCTTGGCCATGCTCCTATACTTATATAAGTCATGGGTGGCTTGGACGTGTTGTATCTTATTGAACATGCCTCCAACTCCATTATTCATGGTAAGTGGTATGCTCCCTTGTCTATAAATAGCAAAACTAGCATGCTTATTATAAGCATGTGTGACTTGGACTTCATATGGCTTCTTGGACATGCCATGCCCACTACAAGTGATTAGAGGCATGCCCCCCTTTCCGGACTTAGCCAAATTAGTATGCTTAGCACAAACATGTGTTGCTTGTGATTGATGTGACCTCTTAGACACCACATGCCCCCCAGACGGACATCTTGGCTTCAGCTTGCGGGAAGTTAAACTTTTATGCCCCCCCTTGCTGAGCTCTAGGTGTTTTGAGTCCATCAGAATTGCTGCTTTGCCTACTCAATAGGGGAGTCTTTAGGGGTGGGCAAGCACGTGGTGGTACTTGGTCCACGTTGAATGGATCTTCACCATCTCGTCCATTGAAAGGTTCTCATATGATCTTGTCTCGAGAACGAGTGGTTGAACATCACTTTTTACATGCAAGACCCCATCACTATTGTTCAAATTGGAGGTGGACCTCTCACCACAACTCTCACGTCGAGGGGGTGGTTGAGTTGCCACTGGAGTAAGAAGTTCCTTGGTCGTGGCCGGGTATTCCGGCCACCTGAGGGAGAAATTTTTTTTGCACACAATAGTATTATTTGGTGTTGGTTCTAAACCATTTTGCTGCAAGGCCATTGATTGCGAGTGTGTATTTTATGAAAAGTTGCCCAAAATCTCTTAAATGATTTTTACTTATCTCCAAAATTTGATCCATGCGCCTATCAAAACTTAAATAAAAACAATCAAGTTGAGATATTATTTGATGGGTACCTGCCAAAGCCTCTTCCATGTAGGGGTGGAAATTGGTACGGTATCGGTATCCCAATCACGAATACCGAAATCTCGAATACCGATTTATACCTGATAGACCAATAATTGCACATGTTTTTACCCCTATTCTTGAGCCGTTTGAGATGTTGATTCTCGTGTTTTAGGCCGATTTCACGCTAGGTTGTTCTTGTTTGTGATATTTCAGGTCCTAGTACGTGAATGAAGGTTTGGGAACGAGTTCGGGGTCGATTGGACGAAGATTGGACATTTGGCGAGAAGCTGATGAAGTCACACGAGCATGCCTAAAACCCACACGGCCGTGTATGGGAACCCACGTGGCCGTGTGGAAATTCCAGGGAACTCACATGGGCAGCCTGGAAATCCACACGGCTGTGTAGTTGTGGGCCGTGTAGGATGGCTGAAGTCCACTTATCGAAACGCCGCGTTTTGCACAACTCACACGGGCAGCTGGGAAAGTCACACAGCCGTGTGGCCTGGCCGTGTGGTCAGGAAATTCTGGGTTTTAACCCAATTTCGAGCCAAAGGAAAGGGAGAGCTGGATTTTGGATCCCAAACACCCAAGGGACGAACCAAAGAGAGAGAGAGAGGGGGGGATTTGAGGGCATTCTTGGAGTGGAATTGGAGGATTTCTTCGCTTTGGAAGCTCGAGGAACAAGCCCGAACTTGAAGATTGATGATCTGAAGATTCTTACTGCAGTCTCTCTCTTCTCTATGGAGTAACTTCCCTTCACTTAGGTTTTGAGGAACCCTAGCTATGTTTGTTTGATTGGATGATTGTATGAGTACTCTTACTTGATAATCTTGAGTTCATATTCAATCAATACATGTTTTCATGATTCAATTCTGCTTTAGTCAAGATTATTGATTCTGCTTTGATCCTATGAGAGCGAATACCTGATTAGGTCAATAGAGCACCATAGATTGATAGTAGTGGATTGATTTCTTTAGTCGAGGATTGATTCACTGCTTTGTATCGATTGAGAACCTCATTTGATAGAGGGAATCTAGTTGAGAACGCCTTGATCGGTTGTTCTAGAGAAGGATACGTCCCTCTAGGCAATTGACTCAAGAGGGCCTTGTTCCATTAGTCGAGACTCAAGGTCTACTCAAGGATTCTCCGCATTGTGAATGAAAGTGAATCAAGTTAGAAATCATCAATCGTTAGTCTGGCTAGTGGCTAGGTGGAATCATACCTAAGTGAGTTCCCAACCTGTAATTAGATTAACTTTAACTGTAACTTGCTAGAGTAGTTTTAGTTCTTTCATCTTAATCTAGTTTGCTAGATAATAAACTGAAGCTGAGTAATAGTAACTCTAGAGACCCGTGGATTCGATATTTATTACTTGAGCCACTATACTGCAGTCCCTTTCGGTTACACTTGGCCATTGTTAGGAGTTTTGTCATAGCGAGTCAAGTTTTTGGCGCCGTTGCCGGGGACTTTCTAGATTATTAGGAAAGGCATAAGTTTGTTACTTTAGCGTTTTTCTTTTCTTTTCCACCCTTGCTTTTCACTTGGGTGTTTTTGTTTTTGTTGGTGCAGATCTGAATCATGGATCCTCATGGTTTCTCCAACCATTGGGGGTATCCACCACCGTCTGAGTGGTATTACCTCGAGACTCCCTGGAGCAATCAAGGAGAAGAATACTA